AGGTAAAGCGAGACATTTACTGCATCCTCTGTAGCGGTACCGCATCCAAAGGACAGACGCTTGTATGTGTGGGGAATGGATAAAGCAGGCATTGACATGGAGAGGTCTAAAATATCACAGGCACATGCTGGATCACAGACAACCTGTAACCTGCTGCTGAGTCTTTCCCCCAGCCATGGAGAGCAGGCTTCATCCCTCCAAGCTGCCTTTAACAGATGAGCCTCCACCCCCCTGGCTGGCACTTCAGAGCCCCTGGGCTCCCTTCACCAGCCAGCAGCTCCTTCTGGTCCTGTGGCCCATCCTCTGGGCAGCAGCAGACTCTTGGGCTCTGGCGTGCCTTCTTCGGGGGTGCCCTGCATCAGGGGGACATTGGCAGTAGCCAACCCTCCTGTCCTGCCATTGCAGTAGCTCTTGTACAGGGACAGTTCCTGACAGCATGACTCGTATAAAGAGGAAGAACTGACTGTTGCTTTTATTCTTCTGCTTTCTTCCATCTTTAAGCTGAGGGAAGAGTTTGACCGAGGACTGGATGTTTTCTTGGATGAGCATCAAAGCGTTCATGATGTGGCTGCTCTGCTCAAAGAGTTTCTTCGGGACATGCCGGATTCACTGATTCCCAGAGAGCTCTATGCAGCCTTCCTCAGCACAGCCTGTGAGTACCTGGGTGCGTTGTTCTCGCTCTGCACAGTCCACCCACCGCATTTGATTTTGTAAGGAATAAAAGGGAGTTTTCTTCTTGTGCAATTACCTGGCTCAGTACCGGGTCCCAGCACAATTCAGCATGCTGCGCAGGAGCTCGGCCCAGCAGTTTGTGCTGCCTGTAAGGGTGTCTTTGCAAATGCTCTGCCCAGGTCCCCCTACCCTCCATATTTCAGACGACTGAGTTGGGTCTTTTCTTAAGCTGCTTCCAGCATCACTCTTTCTTGGTCTCCTTCACCATCTCTTTGCTTCCCTTTTGCCATCCTTCTCTCCTCAGATTTGATTCTCCAAATCCAAATCCTTGAACCCCTGCTTCCACAGCAAAAACGAGCAGCTACACACCAATGGGCTTGCTGTCAGGCTGTGCCGTGTCAGGGAGCAGGACAGGGCATGTGGTGGGGGGAACAGAGGTGTACAGGGATTTAGGGGAACGTATGAGGCAATTTTCTGCCCTCAAGCTCAGGTATTTGAGCATATAGCACACGTGCACTGTAAAGCAGGAGTGTAAACCAGCCTGTCCTTGCTGAAATCACCCCAGAGCAACGGCATGGGGCTACAGGTGTGTCTTCGGGTTGTGGGCACGTAGCACTGAGTTTCTTCAGGATAAATACATCCTGAGACTGGGGCATGTCTCAGCATGCGGTCCCCTTGGGGAGATCAGGAAAACCTTGGGGGGGGGTGGAGATGGAAGGCTGGCTGCAGTGCCCGTCTTTTCTAGCTGTGCAACGGACCTGCATCTCTGCAGGGGCAGGAGAGACCTGGATCAAAGGGGAGAAACAGAAGGTAGCATCCCAAGTGAAAAGCAGGCCAGTACTGCATCGCAGCTGGAAGTGGCTGTGCTGTCTTTACCTTGGTGTCTTATTTAGAGTCCTAGATGAGGAATTTGCATTATGTTTGATATGAGCTTCCAAATCAGCTGTTTTGCAAATTGACAATAATTTGAGCTGCCAGCTCCTTCAGTGTTTTGTAAGACCCACCTACAGAAAGGCTGTAGAGGGGATCTGGGAAGCTGGTGATGCCCACACCTGACAAGATGGGAGAGTCTGTGATGAAGGAGGAGATCCCAGAGCACAAACTTAGTCTGCCAGGAAAAAGTCAGCCGAGATTCCTCTCAAGTTGGATGACTCCCCCTCTTCCTTTTAGGAGATGCAGATGCTTTTGGAGCACATAGGGCCAGGTGTTTGCCTGTATCCCACTCTCCAGAAGCCTGCAGGGCGATGAACCTGCAGGGTCTGGGCATAGAGCATTTGGGGTGAGATCGCTGACCTCAGAAGATGGGCTCACTGCTTGATGGTCTCACCGCTTGTAAAGGGTGCAGAGAAGGAAGATGCAGGGAAGGAACCACCATCTGAAGCTGGAGAGAAGGCCAGGCCAGACCGCTGCTTCCAAACCTTTCTTGCTGCCACTGCTGTCTTCTTTTTCCGGCTCGTTAAGGAACACGTTGAGCAGCACAAGCTGCGAACAGCAAACAGTGCGAGTTGCTCCTACCCCGTGTTTCCCATTTTTTAATGAATTATTTGTCCCCCAGAGGATCTTCTTCCTATGTCACGGCTGTTTCATCTACCTCAAAACTTTTAAGTGAGAGCCTTTGCCCAAAACCTTCTAGAAATCCAGGGAGACTGAAGCAACCCCCCTCACCGGTGTTTCTTGACCCACCAGAGATCTCCAGGGGGTCTAAACGGCAGGACGTCTCTCTGCAGAAGCCGTGTTAACCCATTGACTTTGCATCTTCGTATTTTAGCAACGGTCACCCCTGTTTGGTTTTTCTGTGTCTGTGGACAGGTCTCTTCCCTATTTGCGTGTGACATGGCCGGGGTGGTGGTGGCCACTGTGGGTGGTGGTGAAGGAGTGGCGGGTTGTGTGACTGTGGGTGGCGGTGAAGGGGTGGCGGGTTGTGTGACGGCTGCTGCCCGCGAAGGGAGGCAGCGGCGCCCGGCACGCTGCCCTGCGGCATCCGGCACGCTGCCCTGCGGCATCTTCCCTGAGCCTGTGGTTACCCCCGCAAGGGTTTGAGTCGCTGCCAGTCCCGGCTTTGGCCCTTCCCCAGCAATGTCAGATGTTCTCCCTGTGGGTCAGGAGCCTGTAACCCTTGTCCAGATCTGCTGAGCTGTTACTTCTGTTATATTTTCATCTTTCTCTGAATGTGAAGTGACGGTATTTCTCATACAAGTCTGCAGTCTAAAAGACAGAAGAATAAATGATGCACCTTTGTCATATAAGGACTTTTAGGGCACAGTGTAAAGCAAATGGTTGGGAACTGTCAGGTGAACTACCTTCTCTATGCCCTTCCCAGTGGAAATTGGTGTTACTTTGGCTAAAAGATGGGCTTCACGTTTTTATTCCTGGGAGACAAGAAGGTTAATAAAGATTGCCGTTGCCATTTGCCCCAAAAAGCCAAGCAGAACTGCAGAATATTCACAGTACTGAAATACATATTTTTCTGGAGTGATATCTACAGGCTACAGCCACGTCTTCCAGGCTTAGCATAAGGGTGGGCACACGCGGCCAGGGCAAAGTTGGTCTGGACCGCTATCCCACTTCCAGGAGCAGCCAGAGTCTCTTACTTAGAGGAGCGTGTAAAAACAGTGTTGTTTTCTCCAATATTCCACCTTCCAGTGATCTCCAAGTAGCCTGAGCCTGAACTCTTGTTAACGTTTTACAGCCTTTAGTGGATTCCTAGCCCCAGCCGCTTTTTGAGCCCATCCAGCTGTGTGGTGGACATGACATTCAGCAGGTTGCAGGGCTGCGGTTTAGTTACATGCTCAATGACACGCTACTGTCATTGCCTGTTTTCTTGTCACTGCTAGGGTGTGTGATCTGCGTGGATCTTCAGCTCACACCGGGTTTGTGATCCTCACACCTGAACCAGAAGATCTTGCCAATTCTCCCTATATAAGTGATCTAAGGAGCCTCCCCTCGCAGCCAGCACCAGAGCAGGATACGGGACCACGCAGTCCCCCATCCGCTGCTCTTTCCTGACCCGTCACCCATCACACAGAGCTTTGAATCCCTCTCTTGCAGCATACCCTCCTTTTTTTCTTAGGCGCCCTCTCTAGCCTTGGCCGGCTGAGTGTTTGCTCTCTCCCTGTCCTCCCTTGCCAGCTCAGCATCACTATCGCTGCAGTGAGGTGACTTTCTTTCCCCCTGCTGACACTGTTGTTAAAAAGGCCGAGTGGCCCTGGCCTGCGTGTGGGCTGTAGGGTGAATCCATGAATTCACATGACTTTTCAAACGTTTGGCTCCCGGATCCTTCCTTACCACCCTTCTTTGCCAAAATCACTTGACAGCAGTGGGATTAGTGGTGTGCTGCCCGGCACTGCCACGTGCAGTTGCTGCAGTCTGTGCCTTTTTGTTTTGGTTTTTTTTTTGATAATTGGATTATAATCCCTCTGGTCTAGGACAGTCTTTGGCTATGGGGCTGTACAATACCAAATGCAATCACATCGCAGCCCTTGCTGGGGTCTCCCAGAGTGCTTATCCCTGCATGGATGAGATGAAGGGTAAGATGCCAGTCTGGATCCCTCCAGAGCTCATTACCTGGATGTAAACGAGGGCTGTCCAGCTGGAAGTGCCTAGCGGGCTGGGAACCGCACTAATTAACGGGCTGCTTTCTGCCTAGCCATGGAGGGCCCGGCGCAGCTGGCCGCCCTCCAGCTGCTGCTCTTCCTGCTGCCCCCCTGCCACAGCGACACGCTGCACCGGCTCCTGCGGTTCCTCAGCGAGGTGGCCCGGCACGCCGAGAGCTCCCGGGGCCCCGACGGCCAGGAGGTAAGGCTGGCCCAAACGGGTCGACTGCACGAAGAAGGGGTTGCTCAAAATTTGTTGGTTAAAACCAAGCAGAGCTTCTTGCAAGCCTGGGTGAATCCTTTGGCAAAATCAAATTGCTGATAAATCCCCTTGTCCATGGCAGGTCTGGGTTGCTCTCAGTTCAGCTAAGTGATTTTCTGGGTTGCAGTAACCCCAGAGAGACCTGGCAGTGTGTCCGTAGGCAGCGCAGGGGGCATTTTTTGTGGACTAGTTCTGTTTTTCCACCTCCAACTTTCGTGAAGGACTTATCATCATGCGTTGAGGTTGATTTTGGTTTCTCTGGACAATTCGAGCTCTAAGTCTCTCGGTGATTCACAGAGACTGGTTTTGTCCCATATGGTAAGATGATACAGAAATATTGGTTGTTAACTTCTGTTATGGGTTGTGAAAGTGAGGTAGATGGGAATGGAGGCCCTGACGCAAGGAGGGGATGAGCACATGCTCCAGCACCACAAACCCTTCATGCTGGCCCTGCCACCAGCTCAGAAAGGACCAAACTGGACCCAGATCAACACTGCAGCCTCACTGAGCAGCTCGTGTTCCTGTTTTGGGGTGGGTGAGGCTATCCTGGGACATATCATGCCGGTGCATCTACAATCTGTAATTTACTTTTGTGCTTTCTTGCTAGATTCCTGGGAATAAAATGACAGTTTCAAACTTGGCCACAATCTTTGGTCCCAATGTCCTTCAGAAAGAGAAGCCTGGAGAGAAAGACGTTGGTGCCATGAACTTTGAAGACAGCACTGCCGTCATACTGGTGCTCCAGAGGTTGATTGAGCACTACCAGGCCTTGTTCATGGTAGGTGAGGCTTTCTCAGGGCAGCTTCTCTAGATCTCTCCTTCCCCTCTGAACTCTTTTCTAATGGCAGCAGAAGGAAGGGTATATTCACAACCCCATTTAGCAGCAGATGACTCGAGTCGGCTTGTGAAAATGTGATTCATTCCTCATGCCAGCTGTAAATATCAATTTGGGATGGCTTGTTACTGGCATTGTAAAGGCAGAGCTGAGGGTCCTGCCACGGACAGGTCCTGTCTTCTCTGTCGCTTTCCACCCCGGTGACGTTTGACCAAACTCATTTGGGATGGGAAACAACTGGCCAACAGCAACTGCGCTTCGGTACTGTTTCTCGCCTAAAGTCCCAGTGAGGGGGGAAAGAAGAGGAAAAAATGGGAGACTCTAGAAGAGGGAAGGAGCTGGAAGGCGATGGCGTGGGGTGGAGGTGCCACAGCCTCAGGCAGATGCAGGGAGGCTGTAACAGTGGGGAGAGCTGGTGAGGGCAGTGAAGAATGGGATCACTTCAGACCTACTCTTTAATGGATGATTTGGACCATCAGTGTAAGGCAGGGAGTGCTCATCCTATCCTAGAGGATGCATCGACCTGGGGTTCCCAAAAGCATCTTTTAGAGTAACGTAAAGGTTCGTATGGGAAGAGACCTCTGGGGCCTCCAGACCAACCAGATCAGCTCACTTCAAAGCTAGATCAGGGCTGCGTCCAGCTGGGATTTATTTACTTCCAGGGATGGAGAGCTCTGACCTCTCTGGGTCCTGTCCCAGGGCTGCACCACCCCCAGGGGAAGAATTTTCTTCTTGTCAGAAGTGCCCCTGCTGCAGCTCGTCCCTGCTGCACCTCGGTCTGTGCCCAGGCACCTCTGGGAAGGGTCTGGCTCCATCCTCTCTCCACCCTCCCACGGGGCACTTGCAGGCAGCAGTAAGAGCCTCCTGCATCTTCTCCTGGCCGAATCCTGCTCTGCGTGGTTGTCCAGGTGGACTTCAAGCCTTCCCTGTTGCACTCGCCGCTCTGCCCTGCAGCAGTGTGGGTGCCAGGGGGGCATGACAGACCGGGGACACATCTCCAGGCTCGGTGCTTCTCTTTGCCGCTCTGGGAGGTGCTGGTGGAGAAGGACGAGAGCGGTGCAGTGCAGTACCTGAGCACAGGCGGGGTTGCTCGGTGCAGGCTCGGAGGTGGGTACGGTGGTTGAGCAGGAGAGCCCCGGCGGGTTATGCAGCAAGATGCCATTCCGAGCCCACGGGTGCTTCGTGTGGACTTGGGCACTCTGAAGCAGTCCCCAGGGGATGCGATGTAGGAAGGCGCCATGCAGTCACATAGCTGCTCTCCTTGGGGACAACCCAGTGGAGGCTGTGCAGCTATTTCAAAACCCTGGCAGAAACCCCCTGGATCAGCAAGAGCATACACTGAGCAGTCGTCCTGGCCCTGATTTTAGGAGAGGACCTGGGAAATTCCCGAGAAATACCAGAAATGTCCATTTCCTACAGGTCTATGGGAATGTGACGTTTCAGGTCCCCCAAAAGCCTTGTAGCGATTGTCAGGTCTACAGGGAGCCAAAGGACCAGGGTTAGTGTGGGAAAAGCAGGGGCTGAGACCCTGCTCAGAGCCCCGGGAGGTGTGTGGGACATGACACCCACACAGCGGGTCTGTGAGCACGTATTGACCCGGAGTCCTTCTGCTGTCCTCGGCTGCCTCTGCTCGTCCTCCTCCAGAGAGGAGGAGATGCCACGAGCGAGTGTGTCTGTGTATCCCTCCCAGGTCTCTCCAGAAATGCAGCGTGACATCCTAAGGAGGCTATTTCAGACAGACCCCGATGTCATCGACTACCTTTTGCGCAGGAAGTTCAACGCCGTGCCGTAAGTCCCCACGAGGCGCAGTGCTGCTGGAGGGCACCTCGCTGCACGGGGGCAAAGCTCTCCTGCAGCAACACTCACCATGCTGCTGGCAAGTGACGGACGAACCCTGCTGATCTTCCTGCCCATCTTTCCTGTTCCTTCCACCACTTTCAGTCATGAACTCCCCAGCTAAAATCCTTCACTTTCTGCGCTAACACCCAACAGCTGAAACATCGCAGCTTTTCTGTCCTTTGGAGCGCGTTGTTCTTTTTTCCTCCCCAGCCTGTGCCATGCTCCCTCCTTTACCCAAATCTGCCCTGCATCAGAACTCCTCCTCCACTGCACACGTCTTTCTGTGTGCATACCTACACAGCTCTTGTCCTGCTGCTCCCCCAGAGCCCTCCGCTGCTCCAGCCTCTCAGGATCACACACGGATGCCTGCTCCATTTTCAGCTCCATCGCTAGCCTCCTCCAAGTTTTCTTCACCCTTGGTGTTCTGCATTTCTCTGCATTTTTTTGCCTGTCCTGTGTGCATCTGTGTGCACATGTGTCTGCGCGTGTGACTGCCAGCTATGTCTGTACATCTACTTCTTGGCTGCAGGATAGGTTAGTCCCATAGAGGCTCAGAATTTGAGCTCATGCCCTTCTCTGTGATTAAAGAAGGTGGGGTAAAAGGGCCTTGTGTCCCGTGATCTGGGCCCACGATCATGGCACATAACACAGGAGGTATTTTGCTCCCCCGTGGTCTGAAGCAGGGCATGCTCGGCAGCCTTCGGTCTCCTTGTAGGGCTGGTGGCTCCTTCGGCAAACATGGACTGTCCTGTGCGAAATGGTTTCCTGGAGCACAGACCTTACGAGTCTGCTGTTCTTTTGTTCCTTGTCTGTCTTTTTTGGGACTGTCCAAAGAGGTGGCAAATCTTCAGGGTCACTGCTAGAGGCCATTCGGGCGTGGGGTTGGCAATAGAAGCAGTTTGCAAATAGCATCTTTTTCTTTTTCTTTTTTTTTTTTTTACTTTCTTAGGAGCACAAAGAGTGAGGATTCAACAGGGGAGCATGCTCCATCCCCGCTGCCTGGTCGGACCCGCACCCTGGAGAGCAGCTCAGTCTCATCAGAGTTGTACAGCAACGTCTCATTCCTAAACCTGGACGTTGGCATCTAGCAAGCCTGGTCCACGCCCTCTGCACTGCCTTCTGTGGACAAAACTGGGCCACCTTTCCCCAGCAAAAATAGGTCCTCTGTCCCACTTTGGAGGAGTGGAGAAGTGGAAGGAGTATGGATGCCTGTGGGAGCATCTTTGCCACCGGTAGACATGCCAAATTGTCCTGGTGTAGGCAGACCCACAGCAGGAGAGGCGTTTGCAGGTTGCCAGCAGAAGGGCTTTCCACATGTGGGTTTGTTGCTAGATGGCAACCGAGAAACCCGTGTGCTTGTGCAGTGGCTGTGCACGCACGGTTGTGTCGGCAGGGGTGTGCGAAGGGGAGCGTGCTCTGGGAGAGAGCCGGAAAGCCGTTGGCGTGTGCTGTAGCCCGCTCGCAGGGCTGAAGTACGGCAGCGCCCTCAGTGCAGCACTGCCTCTGCGATCTACCGCTTCACAGGAGTTTGAGGCACGAGGTTTCCGTCCCCAGGGCTGTGTGCGTGAGCTCACGGCTCAGGGTTAGCAGCACACTGGGTGGCAGTGCAGGCAGGGACTGCAGGGTGGCTTCGTGGCCTCCCTGCCTGGGGAGGACAACCTCTCCCCTCCGAACGACCACCAGCCCCGTGCACTGGGACAGCGAACTGGTGCAGACTGGGGAGCAGCAGGCAAGTGTCTTGACAGCTGGTGCCGTGCTCGGTGGATGGGACTTGGAGGTGCAAAATAGACCCCATCTGGTGTACCTCCAGGCATTTGCTGGGCTCTGGTGGGGCTGGCTGCTTACAGGGACTGTGGGGGGGACAGGGCGGGGAGCAGTAGCCTGGGGCTGAGACCCCCTGTGCAGACAGGGAGGAGACTGGCCTGAGACCGAAGTCGGGGGGGACTTAGCAGGGCGGGGAGGATGGAAAATGCAGTTCAGCTTTGTGCAGTTGGTGCTTTGGGATCCCATTTACCGCGTGGTGTTGTGTCACAGGCTTGTGCAGAGAGAAAGCTCTCTTGGAGCTAGGGGAATGCCCGTGGAGCTAAAGCAACAGCACCATCGTTGCAAAGGCACCCTGGCCTGCCATGTTCAGAATGAATCACAGCTTTCTTCTTTGTTTGAACCCAGATTTCAGACTGCTCATTTTATAGACAGGAAACACCGTATCGTCCCCAAAATGTATGGCTGGTGTAGTAAGAGGGGACAATACACTCCGAGGATTATAAACTTCAATTTTCCTTGAGTTAATATTCAGTAAGTAGACCTTCTAATGTATTTCACAGATTATGGTGTCTTTTCATGATCTTTGGCTGAGAAATGTCTGCTTTGGTTTGTTCCTACTGCTCAGGCATTGGCCTGTTATGTGCAAACGTACGTTTCTAGCTGATCTGGCAGAATGAAAGTTATCAGCAAATATTTTCTATTTTCTTTCCATTTACTCCGCCGGACATGGCCTGGCAGCCCCTTACTCAGTCACCCCCATGGGCTGGGTTGTCCCTGGGTGAAACAGCGGCGTAGGGAGGGATGCTCTGGACAGCCGTCCCCAGGCGGCTTCGGGCAGGCCGGTCCAGCACGTGGAGCCACAGCCAGCACGATGGAGGGTAAAAAGTCAGTGTGCGTGGAAGGGGAAGTCAAAGAGAAGGCGACAGCAAGAGAGGTGTCCGTGAACTTTGCATGCAGCATTTTTTGTCTTTCGTCTGCCTTCTGAGATCGTGTAATTTATAATCTCTTGGCTTGAAATGTCAGTTGTCATGTTCACAGTTTAGAGCTTGCTTCCAAGGAGGGGCAGCTGAAGAGCGGAGTGCCGAGAAGAGGGCGGGCAGGTGGGAATCTGGCAAGGGATGTGATGGGAGGAGAACTGGTGCCCAGAGGGGTACTGGTGAGAAAACTAGGGCAGGCAGGTAGGGAAGGAAGGTGGGTAACGCTGGAGAGCAGCAGGGCAGAAAGAAGACAGGAATGAGCTATACCAGGATTTTTTAGTGTTGGGGGCAGATGGATCTGGTGTCACAGCTCCTCTCGTTTGGACTTCCCAAAATCAGCTGCGAATCCATCACTTTTATTCTGGAGAAACCAAGAAATACACACTGATGATTACAGAGGTGCTTGTTTTCTGTGAATTGTGGCAAAATTGTCTGGCAAAAAGCTCGGGGCACAGAGTTCAGCTTTGCAGTTGCTTCCTTTTGTTGCTCCGTAGGTCTCCATCTGTCTGTCATTTTGGGTTATATTTAGACAGCCGAGTTTCTCACGTGTGACAGAATTCTCTGTTCCACGATGGATTTAATTGTCTGGTTTCACGTATGACTCTGAAACGCCCCCCGAACTCAACCTTTGCAGAGAACTGATTGAAATTTATCTCCGTAGAAGTTCCCAGCCCATCGCTGTGAGCTCCTCATCGCAGCTGCCGTACACGGACGTGTGGGCATAGTTTCTTTTTTTTCTTGTTGTGGTTTAAAATGTTCCTGTTTACACTGGCATGGTGGGTAGAAGCTGAAGGGCTTGACACCACTTCCCCTCCCAAAAGTGGCTGAAAAATAAAAGAGTGCTTTTTGAAAAGAAAACCAGGCTGGAGTGTTTGGCAGAACTGTGGCTCAGGGAGGACAAGGAGGGACGGGGACGTTTAAAGGAGGACCGAAGCTCCATCGGTGGTTTGCTCTGTGTGGGTTTTCCTACGTTCGCATCCATTGTTGGTCCACGGATGGGAGGTGGAACGGGGAGTCGCAGCTGGGGCCAGCGCCCCGGGAAGCTTTGGGCTGGCAGGATGCTCGGTGTGGGGGAGCGGCGGGTGCTGGCCGGGGCCGGGTACCAGCTCAGTCCTGGGGACAGGGGGGATGCAGGTCAGAGTCTGGCCTGAGATGCAGGTTCTGACAGTACGTGGCGGCCGGGCAGTCAGAGCGGGGCTGGGGCTACGCCGGTGGATGGCCCTGGGGATTAGGCGTAGGGTGGGAGCACCTCTGCAGGGTGGGAGCACCTCTGCAGGGTGGGGTTCTCGCAGCCCGGCTCCTCCTGGATGCTCTCCACGGTGCTCACACCACTGGGGATGACTTGGGGGCCATGAGAAATGTTTGGCTATGCCCAGCCCCGCACACGAGGTTTGTCGTCAAGGTGAGGGTTAACGTTGAATTTCCGTGTAAGGTTATGGTCGTGTCCTCCCAACTCCATATTTTTGGGTGGGTTGCAGCTTTCTTGGGTCAATTGATTTGCTTCAGGGAAGCTTTTTAGGGTCAATAAACCCCCCATATTAGTTTCCACGGTAAAACTATTTTGCTAGGATTAATGGTAGGTTGAGGTTTGGGAGTACAGATTTGGCAAGTGTTTAGGCTTTATGATAGAGGTAGGTTTAGAGCTAGGGTTAGTTTTAGGTTAGGACTAAGGGATAGAGTTGGCAGTGAGATTAGGGTGACTATAAGGGCTGAGATAGAGTAAGTATTTGGGCCTTCTCTGTTGGAAGTAGGTTGGGTGTCCTCAGCGTGCTTGGATGAAGTTGGTGACCATGGGAAAATGTTTTGCGGTCATGTAAAACACTGAAGTAGGTTTCCGTTAGGGATTGGTTTAAGTTTTGGTGTATGAGTAAGGTTCAAGATTAGGTTTAGGGCTTTGTTTAGGGTTGGGGTAAGGCTAGGGCTTGCCTGGTCTGTAACCATTGGTGTTCAGGTGACTTTGGGAGCCAGAGAAAGTCTTTTGATATTGCCCAACCTCTCAGACTAGGGACACTTTTCATGCTACAGTTAAGTTACGCTGCTGTTCTGGTTGGACAGCGGTAAACCTCAGGGCAATGCTGTGATGCTGGAGAAGTGTTTCAGACAGAAAAATGAGGTCTAGTTAGGTCTAGGGTTACAAGAAGTTTACACTGGGGTGAGGTAATCTTTGGGGTTAGGTTTAGGGTGAGGGTGGGAGCCCTCCCAGCAGAGATATGTGCCAGGAGCTGAGAGGGTTTGTGCTTTGCTCTGGCTGGGATTAGGTCAGGGTTTGGGTGAGGCTCTGTGGCCTCCAGAGTGGGGTTCCCAGGAGTCCTGCTCAACCTAGACAGCTGGGAAGAGGCTGAGCATCGTCTGGGATCCAGTCACATCCAAAATGGTTGCACCACCTGAGGGTCACAGGGGACCAATGTGACCCATGGGCACCCTAAAACTAGTCACCCACTGACCCCAGGAGCCACCTCCCATGAGCTGGATCTTTGTGGCTCCTTGCCAACTAAAACCCTTCAAGACTGACTAGGACTGACTTCATTGTGGGATAAAGAGGACACCTTGGTGTCCCCTGGACACACCTGGAAGAGACAGGGACAATATTCCAGGCAGGAGGGACCTGGTGAGGGGATCCAGGAGGGAATGGGGGCCTGGGAGCAACTGTGGGGGTGACACCCCAGGGCATGGTTTGCCACATGGGGCCACAGCCTCTAACCTCCTGGTGCCAGTGAAGGACCAGGAGGTTCCCATGGTGGAACCATAGAATCATAGAATCGTTTAGGTTGGAAAAGATCCTTAAGATCATCGAGTCCAACCGTAAACCTGACACTGCCAAGTCCACCACTAAACCATGTCCCTAAGCACCATGTCCACACGTCTTTTAAATACCTCCAGGGATGGTGACTCATGCACCAATGGGCCAAACTGGTCCCATAGGGGAGCTGGGCCCAGGGTGCTCCTGCACCTCCCAGGCTGCTAAGGGCTCCAGGGCCCCATGGCTGCCTCCTTCCCTACCGTGGGGCAGCCCCGTGCTCATGGCACTGACCCTGGGGAGCTGCTGCTTCGCCCCGATGGCAGGAGAAGTGCCCCCAAAGGAGCCTGGGTTCCCATGGGGCCTGTGATGGGTGCAGGGAAGAGGAGGAAAGGGGTGAAGAAAGCATACTGGGCTTGGTCCTTGGTTGCTTGGTGGAAAAATACCCCAGCACAGTGTGGAAGCAGCCTTCCTCTGTGGCCTCACAGGAATGGCTCCACCATGTGGACCTCACTTGATGCACCCCATGGGACTACGGGTGCCTTTGGTGTGCCCCAGGGGAGACCTGGCTCCATGGCACAGTAGGCGATGGAGGGACTGGGACAGGCTGAGCTCAGGCCGTGGACCAGTGTGTGCCCTTTGCTCCCACCACCAGCTCTAGAGGGGAAGGTGACAGCAGTTCCTACAAGAGGACAGCCTAC